CCCTATCTTAATTCAAAATGTTATAAAATATCTAAGCAATTAAATATTAAATAATAATTATATCATATTATATTAAATACTAAAATTGAAAAGGTGTTTTAAAATGCATTTTAAGAATGTCTCTCCATTCTCCAACATAACTTTTGACCTTTTTACAGAATTCTAGGTAAACTTTTGGCTTATAAATATCATGTGCATGAGGTAAAATTATTATTGGCAAATACATAAGCTAATTCGCCTTTCATCGCTTAGAAGAAAAACTAAACTGATTTCATCAATTACAAAAAATTCTTAAGCATGAAAATCGCAGATTAAGGTAGAAGGTTGTAATGGAGTGTTCTCTTGCTTTCCGAAGGGTTTAGACTTAGTGGTGTCTGTCGTAGTAGTACTCTTATTCTTGTACTGTCTTTCTTTTCCTTTCTACCACCAATTGTTTTTATGGTGTTTCAGTTATTGCACTTTTTGTTGTTGTTGTGTTGTTATTGTTTTCATAATACTTGTTATATTATATTTTGTCAGCACAATTACTTTCCTCTCATGGTCTGTGCCTTTTGTTTTTCCTCTTTAAACTTGTACCTTCCGAATTCCGAATATGGATACCTTATTGATTCTATATTTATTTTCAATCTATAATCTATATGAATAAAGTCTTGCGAGTGATGTGTATGTTTTATTTTTCTTCTATTTTTTGTGTGATTTTTCTCTATTAGACTTCACAAATCTAATTTTTATGAATTTTTTTTATCATTATCGTAAGTATGTATTGTTATTTGGTTCAAATTAGTCATGTGACTTTATTGGAAGTGTGTTAACCACTAAACAAAGTTAAAAAATTACCGATAATAGCTTCAACGAAATTGATTTACCGATGGTAGCTTCAAAGGAATTGATTTTAAACATTACAATGTGCCCCTCATTTGGTGTTTCTTGACGCACATTAAAAATATTACTCACTTCACGAGATTTGCATAAAATTTTAATTGTTCTAACGAATCTATAAAAAATCACATGAAACACACGTGTCAAGAGCTAGTTATATTAAAAGTGGGAAGGTTTTGAGTTCAAAGTTAAATTACGAAAATGTTCTTTTCTTATTTTATAAAATCATCTCTTTATTACCTCATACCACTTCAATTACATAAATTCTACATTAGTTAATATTAGTAATATCCATAACTCTCAAACTTTTCATATTCATTATAACCTCCAAATATTTATTTATCTATCTATAACTTTTCTTCTTCTTTTTCATTTTTTACTGTGATATAAAATTGGAATTATTGAAACTTGATGTCTAATTGTCTATATATACAATTCCTGATCTGTGCTACAATACTCACTGATTATTGGTTTTGTTTCATTTGCAGATTCATCTTCTTCTTTTGTTGTTGGTTTTTCATCAGCTATTTTAGGTTTGGTTATATGCTTCATGTTAATTGATCACTTCTTGTGGTTTGATTCCATTTTGTTGTTTTTTTAAGTGTTGATGTTTCTTGTATATATATGTATGTATTCTTTATTTATGTCTATTAATTGGAGTCTGCATAATGCGAAGAAAAGCGAGGCCTCTGAGTTTTTCTATGTTATGTTCTTGAACTTCTCAACGTGTACAAGGTAAGAACTCTCACCTTTTGAAAGTAATCTTTGTTTCGATTCGATTCAATTTACAACATACTACTTAATTAGTACATGGTGAATTTCTTCTATATGTTCTTAGATATTTGTTTCACTTCAAATGTTACCCTATGTTTTAGTAGTAGTATTACAATGGTATAGCCCTTTTAATTTGTTCCGATTCAATTTGTTGTGTCTATTATCATAGTTATTTCATGAACATTTAAAACTGTATTTTACATAAATTTTGCAAGAAAGTTGCTTTTATGTTTTTTCAAGTTTATTACAGAAAGTATGATGTTATATTGTACGCTTTAATTTAAAAAATATTTTTTGTAAATTCGTTATTATACATTAATGTTTTTTTTTATTACTATACCATAAAAATTATGTTCTACAGATACATAACCTACACTCTCCTATTCCCCTCCGCCGACACTGCAAGAAAAAGATGAATTACATGGGGATTTTCCTGGGAATTAGTATGAAAATTTGCAGGAAAATAATATTCATGTGGATTTTCATACTAATTCCTAGGAAAATCCCCATGTAATTCACAGTTTTCCTGTAGTGTGAACTCAATTATGTTCATAATGTATCAATTCATATCTTTGAAAAATTATTTTTTTCGCTTAAAATAAATATCTTTATTGAAGAAGACAATTAAATTTCTCACTAATAATAACTACAAATGGTTATTTTATCTACTTAAAATTATACTTAATTATTTTATAATACAAATTTAGTAAAATATAGTAATTAAGCGTAGATTCAAAAAACTATAATTGAAGTTTTCTTTAAATATAATCAACTAAATAGATTAGTCTATATAATGAATATTTTTCAAGAGAAAAAACGATGTAATTTTAAAAATTAGATATTTATAAATAAATAAAAAATAATTGATGATAAGACATTATAACTATGCCATGAATAACACATTAATTTTTTATATTGTAAGCATTCCAAACAAGAATTAACATAAATAGAAAATGGTAAAATTATTTCACATATTTTAACCATGGATAAACATTAATTCAGTTACTCTAATAATCTAATTAAAAGACTGTTTCAAAACAAATAAATAAATGACCACTCAATACCTAATTATCAATTAGAATACTTTAAAATAGATATATTTTATGTATGATACTATATTAAATTACAATATGTTTAATATATATAAATAAAGTATAACATAACTAGGATATACAATTTTTAAAAATTATTTTCATTTAATATAGAATTTTCTATCAAAGGAGACAATTGAAATTATATACAATTCTACCATGACTAATAGGTTGTTCATACAATGTGTGCGCACTTTTCTTTGAAGAAGAGAATAAGAATATAATTTTGAGAATTAGATGTTTTAAATATGAAAAAAAGATACCTCAAAGAACGTATCAAATTTGTATATTCTAATTGTTCTAAGCAAAAATATATTAATTTATAGTAATTATTAAAATTATTTAACCATTTCTAACCACCATGATTAGTTACTTCAATTATATTAATTAAGAAGATGTTTCAAAATAAAAATAGAAATAAAATCATATACATATGTATGTATAACCCAATTCTTAATTAAATAATCAATAAATTTCATATATATATATATATTAGAAATGAGAATGAGGGAGCTTCGGATCAAGAGATTACTTTGGTAATTATAAAATTTTTGCGCCAATTAAATTTCTCCCGGTGGTGTTAACCTGCAAATTAAATTCATATTTTTTGTTTTTTCCTAGATGGTCATGTGGGCTCGTATCATAAAGTTCTTTAGTTGGAAATTCTGTTCATTTTGGTAACTAATTTTAATATTTGTTTTGTTTTAATTTTCTGAACTCCTATATTAAAAATAGATATTTCATCTGTTTAAAAATCTTAAAATTTGATTATTATTGTTCTATGTAGTAAAATAGAAAATGGTCTAAAGCACACACTCCAACTTCACAGGTGTCCTATCACCCCTGAACATTTTATTTCTCTATTTAGTACACACGTGATTGCTGATCAGCACACATAAACCAATATATTGACTAATGTGATTTGCACGCGTGGGCCCCACTTCAACCTTTCCTTTTCCCTCCTAAAGATCGAACGGCCTCACCCCTTTCCCCCAATTCTTTCTTTTCTCCTTTTACTCTCCCTCACCAAAGTGTGATTACAACATCTAAATACACATCTCTGATGATGATCCAAGCATTATTGTATGTATTTTCAACTTGATTACGTAGTTTATCAACTGATTCAGTAAATGTTAGTTCTTTGTCCCTTATAAAGAGAAGCAAGAATACAAGGGAAAAAACATACACCATAGCAGGGGAAAGACCAAAGTCTTGTTTTCGAATTTAATTTCGACCAAAAAGTTTACAAATTCAGCAAAATTTCATGTTTGCATCTCACTACAACATTGAGCATTGAGTCTGATTCATCGATTCAAAGCTTATTCAAGTTTTCATTTGTCATTTTTAATGAATTTAGAGAAAATTCAAAATTCAAATTAGAGAACCTAAATAAGAAATTAGAGCAGATTACAAACCCTAACTTCAAGATTTAGACTAGAAATGAATATACACAACTAAAACCTAGCCATTTTTGAAAGAAAATCGTCAATATATTGAAGAAGGAACAAGGTTTAATGGTGGGGAAGAAGGAACAGAAGTGATGAAGAGTTGGACTATCTTATTGTACGATATGTACTATACTCTCTTTTGTTTTCCTGTAAGAATCCTTAGTCTTGAAGACTAATATATCTATGTTGATCAGCATCCTTGCTCCCTTCCCTCAATTATGTGCTACTGCAGGTATGGCGCTCCTGAAATTCTTCTACTGTCACCCATATATGGTCCTGCTGTCGGTACGTAAAAGATACACACTATCTGTTTCAGCTATTTCTTTCTGGATGTATATTGATTATCTTTCAATACTCGGCAGATATGTGGGCAATGGGTGCTAGAATGGCTGAGTTGTTTAGTCTTCGTCCTCTGTTTCCGGGTTCAAGGTATGCATTTGAGGTTATAATATTGATTTCTCTGCGATCTGCATAGAAATGTATATAGAAGAGGAGAGGGAGGGATGGTGGATTGAAATTTCATTTGCAATCCCTTTACGTAATGATGACAGTCGGCTGTATGCTTCTCTTCTTTGGGTGCAGTGAAGCAGACGAGATCTACAAAATATGCAGTGTTATAGGGACCCCAACCAAGAGGGACTGGGCTCAGGGACATGAACTTGCTAGTTCCATCTGCCAGTGAAAATGCTATTAGTCTAATCACGGTATGAAGTGGCTAAATACATTCGTATGCCTTTCTTAATTGTTCGCAACATTGACATATATGCAACCTTTCTGAATACACTTCTAAAAGGGAATGGAATATCTGATAGCTTGTCATTTCATCTTTTTCTGTTACTTGCTGCAGTCTCTTTGTTCATGGGATCCTCGTAAGAGGCCGACGGCAATCGATGCTCTTCAGCATCCTTTTTTCTAGGTGGACAACTCCTTCCATTTTTTAACTTAATGTACATAAGTCAGTGTCTGTCTTTCTATTAAATTAGATGATATCATTTGTGATGTGGCAGAGTTGCTTTTATGTACCTCCATCACTACGCACCAAGGCTGCTGTTGCTAAGACCCCTCCTTCTGGTTTGTACTGTCTTCTATATTGCTAGTAAGGAAACCTGGGTTTTATGTTGTTACGATGAACTTAAATGGACTTTTTTATCGTAGATGTTGTGCGGGGTGCAGTTAAAGAATACAAGACATCAAATGCCTTAGAAGGTGAGAAAGCAAGTGAAAGGATGTTTTGAAAATGAATAATAGCTACTGATTTATAAGAGTGAATTCTTCCTATTGATGTCATCCATGACATCACTATGTGTCAAAAATGTCAAGGTTAAACATGTGAAACCATTTAATGGTTTACCTAAATTTCACCTACCAAGATACTATGTTGACTTTTATTTTACACTAATTATCTTCCTACCAAATCTTCGTATTAATTCATCTTTCATTGAGTTTGATTCCACAAGAACCAAACCAACTCTTTCACCATCACTACGCACCAAGGCTGCTGTTGCTAAGACGACTCCTTCTGGTTTGTATTGTCTTCTATATTACTAGTAAGAAACTTGGGTTTTATGGTGTTACAATGAACTTAAAAGGACTTTTTTTATCGTAGCTGTCCTGCGGGGTGCAGTGGAGCAGAAGTACAAGTGGTCATCTGGGTTGTCGCACAATCCCAAACCTAGCAGCAACTTCTCAACTGTCAAGTCACAGCTGCCGTTTAACGCAGGTGATTATAAGAATTTAAAGGATTTTACTGTGATCCAGCTAAATCTGAGGCCTCCTATTCTCTGGACTAACTATTTAATATTTTTCCTTCCTGAATTTAACCGTGAAAGAACCATCCATCCTTTTAGCTGCGCACAAAAGCTTGCCTTCTTTATTCTGATTCTTATTCAATTGTTTCCCACTGAAATTGTGTAACAGGTGTACAAAGGAAGCTGGATATGAATTATCAGGTATGTTATCCTTGGAAACAACCTTTTCTTATTTTTCCCATCTGATAGACGAGACAAATGTTGTGGCTAGATGTAGGGGTATTCTACCTGAATCTAATTTCTGCAAACAATTGTTCAGCAGTCTTTGTGCTTTCAATATTTTTGTTTAGTTTTTGGTGATACTGTTACATCTACGATGTTTTGAATAATGTATTTCCTTGTTTTGCTTGAATAAATGGTTTTCCTCAACACTCACTGATAGTATGTATACATTGCATCTTTTGTACATAAATTAAGTTGCCCAATAGTCAGTTAGCACAACAAGGAGACTTACACTACTCAGATTTCTAGTATTGATTACACCACTAACAAAAATCATCTATTTATGGAATAATATATCGCATTATTCCATTATGGAATAATAAGTAACAACCATCAAAACAAGATATAAAGATCAATTCAGAACAAAGAATGATTATATAAATGAAGCAACACAAAAGAGTTTTGTTTCCACACTTACACAATTGATCATTAAGCTAAAGCTCGATATAACTAACGAAAAAATATATGAAAAAATAAAGATCTTAAAGATCTAGTTGATTCCTCATGTCAACTCGAAAGCAAAATCTTGAATGGTTTCTCCCAACGTATCGAGATGACGTCATTTTCTTTGAGATTCCTCCTTTTGACAAAATCCTTTGTCCATGCTTTGACAAGGTGAAAGCTATTAGTTGACCATTTTTTAAGAGTCAAAATATGGCTTGTTTGTGTATCCATATCATATACGGTAACATCAACTTCACACAATTGTTGGCAAATTATGCTCTGTTCTTCCTCGTTCATAAAGGGTAATATGTAATTATTCACGTCTTGTCGAGATAGTAATAGCCTTGAAGCTCCATTCACATCGCTTCTAGTTAGCTTCTTTGTTATCCAGTTACCCAATGCATTAACCTCCCGACTTGATGAAGCAAAAACAGAAGAATGTTGACTATCAATGGAAGATTGGGCAGTCGAAGAGGTGTTGGGTAGGGATGGCGGAGGAGTATTGTTTGCAATTGGTTTTGAGTTTTCATGAACTCGTGTAAAGAGAGTCAAAAAAGGTGAATTAGGATGGTCCTTGCCGCCATCTATGGAAGAGAAATCTACTGTAGTAGTAATTGGTTTCGAAGCAGCAAGATTTTCAGAAACTTGGGGAAAGAGAGACAAAGTAGTATTAGAAGACGAGTAGTGATGAGGAAGAGAATAGCTAATTGGTTGGGCATCAATAACACTGTCTTCCGAAAATGGCAGAGACATTAGAAAATCGTCGGAAAATTGATCACCAATTTCCATAGCGTAACTAAGAGAAATTGATCATCCTTTTATAGATTTGTATAATTTTCCCATTTTGGATCAAAGTCGGATTCTGTGTTAAAAAGGAAAGGATTGGCAATTTTAGTTCTATTTTTGGTATATTTATTTAAGTCAAAAGAGTTTAAAGTTTGTTCACGTGTAAATGTTACCAATTAACTAATTTATTATCCATTTCATAGTCGGATTCTGGAGAAAATGATCAAAATGGTCCTCCATGTATAGGGGTTAATTTATTTTGGTCATTTATATATATCACCTTATCCAAATAGTCCTTAATGTATATAAAAAGTGTATTATTTTAGTCTTTAGCCCTAGAAACTAATACTCCCTCCGTCCCATTTTATGTGGCAACATTT